TGAATTGTATACACGTGTACGAATGTACGACCTGTCCTGCGAGTAGCATATTTACGTTCAGGCAGACCTGTCGGCAATTGATTTAATGATTTCAGTCGAAAGCTCTCCACGTCCAACGCAGTCGAACCCTTTACAACCCCCAACGGTCCATTACGCAGTTTTTAAACTGAAGGAACAGGTGCAAAACGAATGACCACAATACGATTAATTACAGACCGCATTTTATGACATTCACATCATTATAATGCGGTACTGAAGGTACTTATAGAGACCAAACACACCTCCTTATGAATGAATAATTATTTTTATTATACTGATTAAGGTAATTACTATAATTTAGTAACGAAGGGTGTGTCCTTGACTAATAAATTAATATCTTATTCGCTTCATTGTGTACACACATGCACCTGTGGCAACGATTAAGCGCATATGGCACAAAAATGCATTTTTGAGGTGTGTCGCTCTGCTGATAGATTTGTCACCGTACTTGCTTCAATTTGAAAATTCTAGAGTTTTTATCCGGTAATGTTTCTCGGTATTTTTCCTAAGGCCGACCGCACACCAGAAATTAATTCGAAAGATGATTAAATTTAGTCGATTACATTAGATAGAACCAGATGCCATAAATTGAGAAATAAAAAAAAATCACTAATATTTTCACAATATTAGTCAATATATATTAGTTGTAATAGACAGTACTGGAAATAATTGGATAAATTTTCATTTCACAGGCATTTCCAAAGCCTCCTAGATTTTTAAAATGAGGTAGAAACTTTAAAGCTTGCATCTGAGCAACGTCTGTATTATTATTAATACTTTCGGAAAAATATCTACAAATATTCCCTGAAACTGAAAAAATCCAAAAACATAATGGGACATTCCACGCCAAATCTACCACTTTTAACCCTGAGCCCTTCCGATTTGGCTGAAACTTTTTTATTCTTTTCTACCCCAGTGAAAACATCTGAGAATATTTTCAAATTTTATCACCCAACTAAAAAAAAGTTATGAATATTTGAGTAGAAGAAGTAGCTTTTTTTTAAAATAACCATATCTTTTTTAAAAATTGAGTTATCGGGACGTTTTTTCTTCAAATTTTTGTTTTTAAATGTACTTTTTGAAAAAAAAATGGATCAAAATTATCTGGACCTATCTTCACTGTTTTTTTTTTAATTTTTGAAAAGAAACGAAAATTTCTCGATGATTACCATTTTTGATTTTTTTTTTATATAAAAAACTGATTTTTTTATAAACCCTAAATTTTTTCCAAAGTGGTGTTTTTTCGTATTCAATTTTTTTATTGATTGAAAAAAAATTTTTTTTCAAATTCAGCTTATTTCAGATACTATTTTGAAATTTTTTTAAAATATAGAATACCAAAATTTAAAAAATTTATTCTATGCAGCGATTGATGACAATTTCAAAAAGTCAGAAGAGGATGGTTTCAAAATGATTTATTTGACTTCAAATGCGTTGTATGTCTTCTTTTTAAAGTCCTGTACGTCCAAAAATGAACCAAATAACAACTTTTTTTTCATTATCTTTGTTTTTGGATGGTTTTCGAAAAAAATACAAAAAAATTATTCAACACGATCTTCCACTTTTTTCTTAACTTTTTCAAAAAAAATAGAAATTTTTTCATGTTTACCACATTCAATTATTTCTTTCATAAATTTTTTTCAATTTTGGGATTCTATATACATTTTCAAAAATTTTCAAAATGGTGTAATGTGAAATAAGCCGAAAAAAAACGAAAAAACCACTGAAAAAATTTGAGGATTTATAAAAATGTCAGTTTTTTATAACAAAATTTTTTTGAAAAATGGTAATCATCGATAAATTTTTGTTTCTTTTCGAAAATTAAAAACAAACTGTGAAGTTTGGTACAGATAATTTTGACCTATTTTTTTCAGAATACATTTAAAAACCAAAATTTTGAAAAAAATGTCCCTATAACTCAATTTTTTAAAAAGATATGGTTATTTTGAAAAAAAAGCTATATTTTTTTAAATTCGTAACTTTTTTTGAGTTGGGTGATAAAATTTGAAAAAATTCTGTTCTTTTCAATGGGATAGAAAACAATAAAAAAGTTTCAGTCAAATGGAAAGGGGTCAGTGTTAAAAGTGGTCAATTTGGCGTGGAATGCTCCATATACTACAGCTTCGTCCGTCTTTCGTGTGCGGCCCCCTTAAGTCTGTAAAATATACGATGTTTGATATATAGTTTCCTAGAAAGGTGTTACCACCGTGCCCACACCTTTATCTGCGGCATTATATGGTTCATATGACATACCTTAAATTGTAAACCATTAGTAGATAACACGTTAAGTAGGTACTTCTGTTTGTAGACCCTAAATACAAAAGTACTTAGATTATGTAAAAAAAAGGCGGGGCAAATACTTCCTACAGAAAATCATAGTACTTAGCGATATTTGTAGATACTCTTATCGGTTCAGTATCATAAATGCCTTCAGTTATGTAGAACAGATAAGAATTTTTTTTATAGATTTGCATATATGAATAAATTAGCTCGAAGCATGTGACAACAGGTTAAAATAATCATAAATATGCTCAGTCTAATCAATTCAAGGAATTAGACTCCTGTTATCTAATATTACTTAATAAAAATGTAATTATGACAGGACAGGCAGATTATTTTATAATAAACATTATCTCGTTCAATTTCACATCAAAGCAACTTTTGAAATTTTAGTCAAGGATTGTCTTCTAATTTTCAAAATAAAATCCAGTCAGTGTAAATAGCAAAATGTAGTGTTTTATTTTCAATACTTCAGTTATATTGATAGAAAAATAATAAGCAACCAATTTGGTGGGTAGGTAGCTATGACAAATTGATGCTTGAAAAAATGTCGAACTGTTCGACATCTATTGTTATGTATTTTTAATTGAATAATATAGTATTTGTGATATGTACGTAACTTTAGTCAAACCACACACTAGTGAACTTGCTGTTTGGAGCTTGGTTAATGTATCGCAGATAACAAGGGCTGACGTTCGATCACGTCCCTTGATAACTCCGCCAAATTCCCCTTTTCGCATTTCGAACATTTTTATAACACAAGTATTTTTCCTGTTCTTATAACGAAGGTCTGTCTTAGCTTGGATTTTAATTTCAGCTACCTTACTCCATTAAATGACGTGTTTGGTGAATTTCAAGCTGATTTACTAGAAAATTTGTAACATCAGCGATTGTTTTCTCCTAGCGTCCTCTGTGGGTGAAATCCATTTTAGCTTTGCTGGAGCGGATTTGGACGACATGGACGGTTGGATTGGGAACATTGGTGAAAATTTCGAATCACGACTGACTTTGTCCGGGTAGTTTACATGACAATCTTGCTGTATAGACAACTTCTTGGTGTGGATTGGAAACATGGGTTAAATTTGAAACCTACTAGTAGGTACTTAAGTTACTAATTATTGTTAATATTGTTATTTTATTTAAGCCTCTGTCTAATACTATCATAAATATTTAAAATTGTTCTATATTTAATTGTTACCAATATTTCTCTATTAAACTCATTGAAAATTTGCTACGCAGCATCCATTTTGCGCCGAACTAATTAATGAGGCGGCATTGAGTGGCTCGGCAAAAATTAATGTTTGGCGTACCTCTACGTGATGAAAGCGTGCTTGTACGAATGACATATTTCATAAAGTACTTACACGTAACCCGAGTGCAGCCACAATGTCTATGATGAATGGACTTCCTAATGGGTTTGTGTGGGAAGAAAGCACTCGCCTGATCCGGTCATAGCGAAAATACGGTGTAATAAAATATATGTTTGGAATCGTGCGCCAAATGTGAAACGATATTCCAGAAAATTATTTTTACAATACGCATTTGGTGGTTAAAAAATAATAAACACGTGGAAAGTACATTTAAGTACAACACAAATCTACAGATGTGGATTCCACCGAATTAAGTATTGCATACTTATTTTATAATAAACCGTATTATGTATGTATCAGAAGTATGTATAATGACATATAATTAAGAAATCAATAAAATGTCCTTGGCAACATATACCTTTACACTAAACTATCCGGCTATTAAGATATTACAAAAACTGCGAGAATTATGTCCTAAAACCCACCCAAACAACTCAGTACCTGATGTACTAGTGATTACTGTAATTAATCATAATTATCTGCGGCTACATCTTGTTCTTTTAAACGCACCTTGAGTTAAACCGATAATCGTCGTGTTGCCAACACTGAATTATTTTTTAATTGTGTGTAATAATTATAATGAAATTGTTTTAAAAAGCACCCAGCTTACTTCAGTATATATAGTATTAATTAATTTTAATTATCGTATTGCACTTTAATCGTATTTTAATAAAAATGTTATTGCCGTAATTATGTAAAACAAACTGCGCAAGTAATAAACCCTGGTTAATAAAATTTCTTATCTTTATTTAAATTAATTTCCAATATCAAAATATAAATAAAGGAAAAATATCCATCGTTTGGTTAGCATAGATATTTGTATTGTGAATAATAAACGAAATAAATCATAGCAAATACCTAAGTGTTCGATGTAAACAGTACGCAACCAACATTACGAGTACAGTAGGGACCAATAATATTACTTCATATTTGTGCTATGGAGTTTATATGTACAAAACTTATATAAACTCCATAATCTGTACCATCAGTAGCTGTTTTATTTGTTACCAACTAGGTAAAGTCCTATAAAAATATTTTTTATAAACAGTAATTCTTATATTACCTACCTACAATCTAGAATTCTAACGCTGGAAAAGAGAATTATTAAATTGAAAATACTTAAATTCTTAATTTTGTTGCCATCTACACATTCTTCCGCTAACTAACGCCATTCAGTGCAATAACTTTACAGGATACTGGATTACCGGCCCATGTAAAAATCTACTTCATCCCCCGTTCACCAGGTGATACGTTTTTGGCAAAATAATTTTTGTTATGAATTTTACACTACTTTTAAATCGTCGTTGTAAAAACGAGTCCATATCTTCAACAAACGTTATGTTTATTGCATTAAGTGTTGTGTATGGTCGGTAGAATGTTATTTTTTGACACAGTTATAGTGTAATGTGTTGTTTCGCCCCCTCCTGGTCGAGAGGCAGTGAGTTTTCGTGGTGATGTGCTGCAGTAAAAAAGTATGGTGGGCTGTGAGTGAACAGTCATTTGTTTATAAACATATTTTGTTCTTTACAACGATTTTAATGTGCCGTTAAAAACATTTTAGTGTTGTGTAAACGATAAGACTGCAATTTCAAGACTGGATAATCCTAAAACATTTTTACAGGTGAGCTAATTGTTGCCATTTTCTATGTTTATTTATATTTTTTGTTTATTCCACACTACCTGAACCTGAATGCATTATGTCTGGCTTTGTTGTATACGTAGGTAAAATAAAAGTGTCGAGATTGTGGTGCAGATATTTCATTGCAGTTAATGTGTGATTAGAGATATTGTAGATTGTGATTGTAACGATCTAGAATCTCTTTAAAGACACACCGTTTCTTTCGTTGCCTTCAATTTTCACCGGATACTGACATTTGCTTTGGTTTCCCATCGATAAATTAATTATTAAATTGTGGCGATGACAGCATGGAAATATAGGTCAAAAATTAATTTGTGGAAAGAGGTCGTCGACCTCAATATTTAACGTTGCATTAGAGGCGGGGAAAGGTTCCAAAATAAATGACTGAACTGAGTGATATAGCGTTGAAAGGCAATGTTGCCAAATATCTCTGGGTATTTGTTTCGAAAACTACCCCTTCATTTCACATTTTGATTTTTATTTATTTTTAAGCCTTTAATATCAACTTTTAAATAGGTCAGGGATATTGCATCAATTATTTTTATTTTAATATGTTTAAAGGAGGTTAATCAGAGACATTATCTAAAGAATAGGCAAACTGACAACGTAAGCATTGTATTTTGCAGTCGAAATACCTATTTCCAAAAAATTCCACAATAATGTAATAACATCCTTCGCAGTAACTAATAAAATTCACAGTCACAAAAGTAAAATACGTTTATCTGTATTATGAAGGTATTATTTTTTTAAAAATATCTTATTAAATGAAGTGAAAATAAAATAAGTAAAATAACTCATAAGCGTTAGATGCTATTTTCGTTTTCATTATATTTATTGAATTATTTTTCAACGTGGCAGCGCGGCGACCAAGGCTAGCATGGAATTTGTCTCTCCCGTCAATGAAATGCATTGTGCAGTCTGATAGGGTAGGTTGCCTTAGAACAGGTTAGATGGCAGCACAATACCGTAACCCATTTAAACTGGGATATATTTATAAAATGTACACAGTGACATGAGCATATTACATAAACATTTTGATAACCTTTCGAAAAGATGAATGGGCAAAGTTTCTTGTATACTGTAAGGTGTTATTATTTTCGCCCATGGTTGCCCACCATACCATGATTGGATTCAATAAATGAACTCTAGTTTGTCCTTGAACATAAATAATTAGCATAAATTATACTGTGCGCGTAATCAATCGGTTCCACGTTGAGATTTCAAAGTACCCACTGTATTTTTTTGTTGTTTTTAATTTTATTCGCACGAAGACACTACAGTTAACTAACACCGGAAATAACTACGTTAAAAATATTTTACTGGCGACATCCTAACCTGTCCTAATCTATCATTACCTAACCTAACCTCACTGGCCTAATTGATAAATGATAATGTATAGGTACCGGGTGTCCCATTAAGGTCATCGACCGGCTTTGTCTCGGAAACTATTTGTTATAATTTAGACCTATTTAGGATATTCAGTATTTTCTCTCCGTATGATACTCTGTATTTAATTGTAAACCACGAACAGTTGCTAACAAAATAAATATGAAGTAAACCATGTTGAATAAACGATTTTCAAGACTAATGAGATGCACCAGTCGACCTCCTTTTTCATCGTTCAAAACAGTTCCCAGGCATTACATATGTATATGATGTTCTACATTTGACAAGCTATTATTATATGAACATCTTTATATTGATTTGGCCTTGGTACTAGCCGGCACACAGTAAAAACAATAATAAAAACATTAGCATGCTTCTGCTCAGCCAGTTGATGAAGGCTGGAGTATGGGATGAGTCAAGATTATGTAATAATGGAACAATTGCTGAAATCGGACTTCCATAGTCCTAGGTTGTCGGTTTTTTGGGGAGCAATATATTGTGTTTGATTATTTCAGGATATTAATATTATTATAGAATGTTTCCGTTATTTTTTTAATTTTTTTCCAAAAACCAATTACCAGGCTAAGAAAAGCTCACGACATAGTTTGTAAAAGTTTCGCTGCAATTAAATCTTATTGGCCGTTATTGGCACTGCCCTGCTTTTTCTAGTAGTACATTGAATCTTTTTATTGACCTCCCACATAAAATTGTTAGGTGGGCGGTGATTGACCAAACAAATGACTACATCGAAACCAACACTGTTCACTAGGAGTTGCTTTTCGAAAATTATCTTTTTTAATAAACGTAAAATGATCTATAGTAGGATGCCAGAGATTGTACGTTTCGTACCTTGTATAGTTGTCAATCATTCCGAATTATTTTGGTATTATTTTTTCAGAAGAACCAGTCACTTGTAAAAAAGCACATTAAGTACGTAAGTTGTTTCCATTACAAGGTAAAAACTGCTGGAAACTTTGCTTCTCCTGTATATTACATTAGTTTTGTAAAGAGTGCAGTTTGTTGTCTAGTCAGTATGATTGCTCCAATTTATTTCATATCGAAACGTTTATCTAATAAAACCTTTGGATATATTTATCAATTACCGTCTTAGACCAGTCGTGTTATCTTTTATTTACCTTTGCATTTACCATTTTATTAGCTATGTCCTGTACAAATATAGTTGCAACCCTCTCGGTTTGCCATTTTTATTAAACAGTATCAACAAGTTGTCTTTAAAATATTGGTACCTATTTAACTTTACTAAAATTTTGTTGAAGGATTGGCAAAATGGCAAAGATTGTAGATACAAACATCTTAAAGCAATGCTAATTAGTTGTACCAGCAATCTCTATATTTTTCATTCGCGTTGTCTAAAAGTCGCGTAATATACTAGAAGAAAATAGTTCCTACTGTAACCAATTTTACAAAACAGTATTTCTGTAGTGTCGGTAACAATTGTATAATTGTATTAAAAAAATTCTCATTGATGTTAAATCCTTGAAAACGCACAATTACAATAGTGAAGTAGGTACATAAAACGTGTAGTTCTAGCTTTCTATGTTTACATTAATGAATAAATTATTTTAACATATGTAGATATGCGGCGGATATTCCAACAAACATGTCGCTGCGTCAGTTCCTCAAAGTGTTAGTGTACCTACATGCAAGTATAAATTATAGAAAATATTTGCACACAATATACATACAAATTGTCGTTGTGGGCTATTTCAGGGTATCTTGATTAAAGATCCTTAATATTATAACGATCGGGCGAATGTCGACTGTTTTTTTGGGAGAAAGTAGGTGAAAATATACATATTTTTTTTATTATACCTATTATAATGCGAAATATGCGGTTTGACGTAAAATTCGGCTTCTAATTAGAATATTGTAACCTCGATAGAATTGGCGTGGTTATGAGTAATTTCCGGACGATAACATAACAAATACAAAATATAAGTATCTCGCTTTCAAAATATCTCCAAAACTGGAATTGTTAGGGCATTTTGCTATCGAGATATTTACTTTGTTTTCATCTGACAATCTTTTGTACACCTAATTCTGTTGTCTGAGCTTATTAGAATCTTGAAATAAATGAAAATATATTTCATTTAAATAAATACAATTTTATGCTATACAGGGTGATTCAAAAATCAGTACAAAGAATTTAGGGCGTATTTTTGAGATCAAAATAAGATTTTTTTTTCCTGTAAACTACTAAACTTACTTTTGCGTCATTTAGTGCTACCGAGAACACAACCTGTTTCTCGGCCATCTACCGTCAAATCTACCTTGCCGAATATTTTCCCTACATAATTACATAATTATTATTTCTAGTCATATAAAATAATATATGCCATGCCCATTCCTTAGTACGTCGGCCTGCCGCTTCAATTTTCGGGATTCACCCTGTACATAGCCTTGCATCTGAGTAAACAATTTGTTTATTCGACTCTTCTTAACCACGATACCAGATTTATGTCCGCACAGCTAATCTCTCGCTATTAATATCGAATAAAATGATTCGCGATGATGCGCGTATTTGTTTTTCATGAGGCCCGATATCGTGTACGAGTATTTTTTCATTTATTACTTGCATCGATAAATTAAATCCATTAGAGTCGTGCAATTATAATATTAATTGGCGTCTTAAAAACAAACAGTGTATACACTAAGGTGACCCTTGTATTTGCTATAGTTAAACATTAGAAGTATGGTGCGCTGTTTCAGTTCAGAGTTCGATTCGATGCATTAGAATCAAGTTAAATTACTTGTTGTATAGTGTGTAGCGAAATTAGCCAAGTTTAATGGTGACAGAACAAATCCAGACGGGTTACCATGCAATCAGTTTTGATTTCTAGGCGTTTTGAGAGACATACCGTCTTCAGAAAACACTATAAAATTGGGTAGTAGGCCCCCTGGCCGGTATGGTGTGTGGACTGACGCGTATCCTTCCAATGTACGGTTTGTCGTTTCCAAATTCTAGGTAGTTCCATTTCTGGGTCTCTACTGATCCTTTGTAGAGCCTTGGGCTACAAATTAACACTAAAAAATGCTATGTCACAAATTAACAGGAAAAGTTCATATAAATATGTCAGATTTGAATAAAATCGTTTCAGACGTCTTTTTTAATCAACGTTTTTTCAAATTGTAACACTCTGTATGTCAAAAATGGAATGTACGACACAGGCTTAATATTTTTTTCACTAGTTTGCAGAATTTCAATGAATGAAATCAAGCAAAAAATTTAAGTGTTGAGCTGTTGAAATTTTGCACACCTTTTCATTCCAGGAAACTTTTGATAAAAAAAATTAGAGCGAAAAATATTTCTAAACTTCCAGGGCTTACAGCATTTAATGAATTTGAAAACAAGCTGACAAGCGGAATCTCAGCAGCAGGAAATATAAAAATCATTTCAATACAGACTAATTGTGTAAATATATTTTCATGTAGTCAACAGTATCTGTAATGTAATAAATGGGACAAAATTTATCGACATTATCTTTAGGTTCTAATCAAACGAGAATCCCTTTGCAAAGCAATTTCTGTTATCGAATCTCGTCACATACAATCCCATTATTGATAATAAAATACTG